CTAATCTGACCAGGTAAATAAGATCAGTATTTTTGTCCTTAAATTAAGATAATTCAATATTATGCACCTGAAGTAAGACAACACAGTTTTTTTTTATTATTTTATACGTACATTTTCTTATTCCATTGGCAAAATGTCTCACTTATCATCTGAATTCAAGAAAAAAACAAAACACCTATTTTAAGAAAGATTTACTTATTTAGGTTTCTTTTTTTTTTTTGCAGTGGCAGAAAACTGAATATAAAGGCTCACCACAGTTTTGTAAAATTTTATTTGATAAAAAAGGTATGAAAACTATATTTCATTTCCCATCTATTTAAAAAATGTACATCAATATGTGTTAATCTTTTACATAAACATATTGATGTTTGTGGTGGTAATATACTTCAAGAAAAATAATTCTAATAATCTCATAAGGTGTAATGGTTTATCTGTAGGCCTATTTTACATTACTCTGTATGACTTTCAGCTTTATTCATTTATCAGATATATGGTCAGTGTCCTGTTTAGGATTTCAATTATTTGTTTACCTATAAAGACCAGCAGCTGGAAAGCAGTGAGCCAAGCCTCTGGGATGGCAGCAGCCTGGCAGAACGTGAGGTCGTTGGGAACAGGCATTAAAAGCTCCTCGGATACAGAAACATACTCAGCATATCCTCCTCCACACAGCAAAGCCATCACCCTGTCGTCTGGTTTCCAGTTCCGCTTTAGTCTCTGACCCAGAGTGTCCACAGTTCCAGCTACCTCCAGACCTATGATATCACTTTCACCTGCAGGAGGAGGATACAAACCTCTTCTCTACAGAAGAAAACATACAGTAAGTTAGATTCATATGTAAGCCAGAGGAGTCATTTTAGACGCGCATCTAATTTTGTTGCACCTGTAATAAGTCTGCTCTGTTGAGGGCAGCTGCATGGACTTTTATCAGGACCTCTCCATCTTTAGGCTCAGGTCTTGGGATGGACCGCAGCACCAGATTCTCTGGTCCTCCTGGGACATCAACGCAAACTGCCCGCATCATCTTTGCAAAGCTTGAGCAACTCCTGTACCAGGTCTACAAATCAAACACACACATTTCAGTCTTTTAATTCCGCTTTAAGAATTTAGATATATTCCTGGATGAGTATTTTTAAATATATTTTTCACAGATTTTCATAGACTCACTGTGTTGTAGGTTTTTCTTAGTAAAAATACTCCAGTTTGAAGGATTTGAGACATTTGATAATCTCAGGGTGGCTAATATGACGTGATAGAAGTAATAATTAACAAAGAAAACAGAGATAAAACAAATAGATATTATAAATTACATCTAGTCAAATTGTTTATAAAATAAAAGAAACTAAACAAGCTTAATTGAGAATGAAAATAATCTAAATGGCAGCAAGTTAAAGCAGTCTAAGGAGTAAGTATTAACCTTTAGAAAGCGCAAAAATCATAAATATGTATTTTGGCTGCTTCGGCTTCCCGTAGAGAGCATATTAAATAGTGGAAAACACACTTTTACGAATAACAAAACTTTTTAGCAGAAGAAAGAGATGAGAGCAGAAGGAACAGAGCTGGGAAAGCAGAAGAGAAACCGGGATATCGTTTATATGAAGTAACGTTATGACTACAGAGTTACTACAGGTTAGGGCAGAGTGCGCATGCGCAGACAGCTGGACGGTTTAGTTGACTTTTTCATTGATTAAAAGCGATTCAACTAATTACTGATTATGTAACATGTGTTACTAATTTAATTAAAGATGTGAAAATGATAATTAAACAGATAGTTCTACAATTATAGATCAGAAACAGGTTATTTCGGCATTAAGACAAAGAATAAAGTGACTATAAACTCACCTAATAGCGACGTTCAAGTAGATCAGCTCTAAAAAACCTTTTCAGGGAAGTTTGGTTGCTCCATTTCTTAAATAGACTCCAGGGAACCGCTTCCAGAGGGGGCAGGATTTATTACTAACCACAAGGACATAAAAAAAAAAACAGCGCATTTCAGCACAATCCTACGGAAGAGGATTAGGGCCACTGGAAAAAAAAAATGCGGATTTTTAAATATTACAGTTTAATATGGGAAAAAGGTCAGGATTCTGACTTTGATCTCAGAATTCTGACTATAATCTCAGAAATCTGACTATTATCTCAAAATTCTGACTTTTTTCTCAGAATTCTGACTCTAATCTCAGAAATCTGGCTTTAATCTCTGAATTCTGACATTTTCTCAAAATTCTGACTTTAATCTCAGAATTCTGACTGTAATCTAAAAAATCTGACTATTATCTCAGAATTCTGACTTTAATCTCAGAATTCTGACTTTTTTCCCCAGAATTCTGACTATAATCTCAGAAATCTGGCTTTAATCTCTGAATTCTGACATTTTCTCAAAATTCTGACTCTAATCTCAGAATAGAATTCTGACTATAATCTCAGAATTCTGACTATAATCTCAGAATTCTGACTTTAATCTCAGAATTCTGACTATAATCTCAGAATTCT